CATTATGAAAAATTATGAAATTGACTTGCAAATCAAATGGAAAGATAATAAAAATGCCTAGTCTGCTTCCACTAGATCTGTATTACATTATATTAAAGGGGGAAATCCTCTGCTCAATGTGATACAAAAGCTATCTAGAGAATGAGTTTGAAAATATCTTTCTCAAAAGGTGTCTTTTAAAAGATATAATGACATAAAAAATTAATTATTCAACTGAAATAAGCAAGTATAAGATCAAGATAAAATTACTTCAGTAATTTGATTAATTCGTTCAAGAAACTGAAACACTGTATTTCTTCAAATTTCACCTTTTATTACCATGAATGAGCATGTCTACCCCAAACACCACAGTCACCCATGTGAACCACTTTCTACACTGCTGCTGGGATTGGAGCTTCAAGGCTTCCTTCACTCGTTAGCTGTCTCTCTCTACACCTTAACAGAGCTCTAGAGTCTGAGTTCAGAGGATCACAGTTTTGTTTCTGCTTCTGATTGAGAGGCAGGTCCTGAGCATGACGACACAACTGCTGCAGACTCTGGAGAGACAACAAGAACAGATGAGTTTGTTTCAGACATCGACTGGAGGAAGAACAAACTCACATAGCTCTGGATAGAGCTCTCCAGTCATTAAAGAGTTTGGAGCAGTACCTGTCGTGGTGTCCCTGCAGTCCTGGTGAGTTTATACAGCATGACCAGAGGCACACAGATGACAGAACCAAAGAACCAGCCCAGGACATACGCCCAGTCTGGATACACATAGGTGTTGTTGAACATCAGGGGGGTGTGCTTGACCAGAGATAAGATGAAGATGCCCTGAAGTAGAGAACAAACATCTGATTCAGCTTCACCGAAACAGCACAAAAGGACTGGAGAGGATGCATTAAAAGAAAGAATATAGTATAACAATAGAAACTGCTTTATACAGGTGATGTTTAAGAAGAAGACTAAAAAAGTACAATAGTAAAAGTAAACAAATTAACAAGAGCATGCAGTTTTAAGCATGTTTTAAGCAGAATGTATGGAAATCACACATGAGTGTTGAGTTGGGATTTGAAGACAGTCAAAATTAGTCTGCCTAACAGTGAATCTGAAGACCATGTTTGTCTCCTAGAAGATACAAATAATAAGGAACTGGGCCCAAGACTGAATTCTGTGGCATATCATGATTGACTGGAGCCATTGGGGAATCACGAGGACCAAGGAAAAGAAAATGCTGCTTGCCAGTCAGATAAGAGCATAATTTCAAATTGTGAAGTTCAGGTTTACATAATGGAGAGAAGCTCTTGAAAGAAACAGAGCAAGTTTTAAGGGAGGCATATTTATCCAAAATACTAGTCAAAATACTGATATTAAAGTTTCTTTCAAGGTCAGTTTGTGTAAAAAGTTCAAGAAGAAGTTAAAGACATGCTCTTACAGTGCACACAACTGGAGTGATGTAGCGCCAACAGTACCTAAACACAGCCAAAGGCCGATAGCCAATCATGTCTTCAATGTTGACACAGAAGAGATCAGCCCCTGCATGAAACCCAGAGGTAAAGATCACCAGCTCAGTAATGATACAATTACAGATGAGCAAATGTATATTGTTGTGCAGTCTGAATACATAGAGAGTTTTGTGTATTTTATCAGCATGTATTTTATCTATACTAAGCCAGTGAATGCTTGTAAAAGCATTTATGGTAAAAATTGGAAGGACACAGATACTGACCAATAAAAACCCACCATTAATAAGAATAAATAGACAAATAGTTATAAAGATTAAAATTAACACCTACCATATACCCATCCAATACAAATAGTCTGAAATATGGCAACAAACAAGAGGCAGGCCCCATTGCAAGCATAGTAATCAACCAACTGGAAGATGTATATTCCACCCTGGAGAGACAGAGAAAATGTTGTTATTTAAATACATGTGAGGTGACTACTGTGATTTTAAAGTATGTACAGAGGTACAACTCTGAATGTCTGCTCCTCGGCATTCTGCAGTGCCAACACTTACTGAAGCTATTGTTTCTAAGTTTCTTTATTCTCATGAGCTTCTTAGGCAAATCTGTTGATCCTTAATTCCAACCAGACCATTGCAGGTCTTGCTGATTGATTATCAGGCCCCTCAGCCCTTCATTCCTCACCTCAGTGACCATGAGGAGCCCAAGCAGGAAGCAGACCACACAGAAGAGGAGCAGTAGGAGCTCCTGCCGGTATCCTCTCCGGAACACTGTAGGAAACAAATCCACGATTGCCGTCATCACGGTTTCAATGCCCACAAACTGCAGAGAGCAAGATAACAGAGAGCACAGACACCTGGATCACTGAGTCAACTCACTCCCAGAACACACAGTCCACAGAGCTATATTATTGTAAAAACAACTTGCAAGTGCATGTATTATAACGTTAGTGATGAGTTTGCCTAACGTACTTCCAGAACTCCATTACAGCAGAGGTGGCCTTTTTTGCCTCTGTCCAGTTGGAAGTGAGATTCTGCTTGTCAAACTCCACACATGCATCTGTGAGATGACCAACAGAATGGAAGAAGTGTGTGACCTTGTGTGAAAGGCAGCAAATAATGTACTTGTGAGAGTGCAGAGAGAACAGGATCATAACTCTGCTAATACACAAACACCTGAACTTTCGACTCCATTACAGGATGCCAGCTTCACTAACTCCAGTGCACTCACCCAAGGAAAAAGAGCATCAATAAAGGCTTTATTTTCAATGCTCTGAGATTTGAA